AAAAAAAAAAAAAAAAAAAAAAAAAAAGAATAAAGCAATGGAATGAGCTTATGCGTATTTTTGCACAACTTAAATTTTTTTCTGAATTATGTATTGTTACAAGATTATGGGTTTGGGCAGTGGCTCTGCTGTTGTTAGTTGGAATAATTTAAGAATTTGAGGTGGCACTTTAAGGAAGATTCTCCTGCCAGTTTGGCTATTAACTACCTGCCAGTTTGGCTATTAATTACTCTCCTGTCATATACCCCTAAGAAAGTTATTATTTCACAATACTGCTAAGAGAGAAACAAGTCCAACGCTTGGCAATCACACTCTTTTTTTAATGCTAGGCCAGCAGAATAGAACACTAGGTGAAACTGGCTTTCAGCCTACACCTCACCCTCAACTATTTGCATCATATCCCAAATTCAAGAAAGATCCTTTTCAATGTCCAAAAAGTAGAGATTTGGGCTGCAGCTGTGTGAGCCTTAGAGATGCCAGTCATTATAACTATTTTATTTTTTATTTTTTTAAAAACACATGCTGAAACAACCTCCCCTTATTTATTCTATAATAACAACACAATTTCTGGAGGCTTATAGGGAATAGGTTAAGCTACAGAGATTAATATCTGTGCTTTATGTTTGGTAAACAATTAAACATAGTAGGAGACAAATTTTCCCAGCRTTTGGGCATCTAATTTATCTGTAAATGGAAAATCTTCTCCTTTTTTATCATATAGCTCCTGGGAAGCACTGGAGAAAAACAAAAAACAACAACAAAAATTACTCCTACTCTTTGCCCATAAATAAACATCCGCTGGAGCCTCACAGGGAGCAGAATGATAATTCATGCAATTTGGGCATATGTTTGCTCTTTTTATCTTTAGATGAAAATAGATGCCAGTTGGCACTCTTTCATAACACCATCAGTACATTATTTGCAATTTCTCCTACAGACTAGATGGTGCTTGGGCTTCATCAGTATCTAACAGCAAAGTTTGGAAGGTAGAACCTAATCTACTTCACACCTGCTCAATCTCTCACTCATTTTGAACAAATCTCAAAGTATCTTTTCTAACTCATTCTGCTAGGATCCTTCATTCCAGTAGTGAGAATTTCTTCATAGTGTTTACATACCCAGAGGTCTCTCTCAACTCCCAGATTTGCTGGCTAATGGTTTTTCTTTCTTTCTTTTTTTTTTTTTTTAAAAAAAGAATTCTTTAGATGAGTAAGTGCAGGACTCACAGTTCTGTACCCCCTATCTATGCAGTTTATAGTAGAGATTTGTGTCTGTGTGTATAGTTATACACCTACACACCTTTTTGGAGAAAAGAAAAAAGTAGAATACAGTTCAGACTACAACAAAAGGCACTAAATTGAAACTTGGGAATATTTATAATTGATACAAATCTGACAGGAATAAACCTTTAACAACTCCCTCCTTCATTTGCTAAGACACAGTCTGATAAAGCACAGAAATGCTACTGTAGCCCCTCAAGGCTTATTTTGACTAAAGCTTAGGAATGCAACATATAAACACTAGACTCCCACATTACACTGTTACAACTTGCATTAGCAGCAACTGGACAAAAGCCACATTTTCACAGAAACATCTTACAGGGATAGATCTTGTGTTTAGACTTTTAAAAAAAAAAAAGTGAAAAAAGAAACACCCCAAAACTTAATTTTCTAACATAAGTCATGCTTTCAGTATTGAATAGGTAATTGATATACTGCAAAGATGGCAGATTTAGTTTCGTTTCTAAATTGTGCTAAGCAGCCCTATTTATGTGTTTAATGTTTAGCTTAACAGAAACAGCGTTTTGACATTTGAAAGTCACGGCTATGAATGGCAGTTCTATCTTCTTYCAAAATACCATGATTATGTTGGTTACAAGTCTCTTTTTCTAGTACTATCTTACCTTTGCTAGAGCTGCTCAATAAAGTAAAAACTACAGTATCTGACTTTCAGGCATCTGTGCATTTCCTAGAGCAATTATTCACATCAAGAAATTGCTATGCAGTGTAACACTGACTCAGAATCTTAATGTGATACTGTACAAAACAGATAAAATATGGCATTTTAGTATTTTCTTTTTCTTATCAAAAGTACTACCACCTAAGAGAATACAAATAAAATTATTATGGAGGKTTTTTTGCCTAACTAAGAATTCTACAGCAAATAGGAATAATCTAGCCTTCACTTAAGTGTATGCTGCCCTCTGGTGACTTCTATACATATTTGSTACAGCAAATAAGTTATCTGAACATAGAACAGCGAAAAAAACTGATTTAATTTAGAAATACAGAAGAAAATATTCACGCCAAAACATTYTATATTATTTACTTATAAAGGCTGGTATAGCAATTTAACATGTAGCAAAACAAACTCTCACAAGAAAAACAGAAGGAAAGTGATGTACAAAAGTGGCACGAAATGTAATAAAGTATGAACATCAGCATCTATTAAAGCCATGGTGATATAGCTCACGTTTTCCCAGGAGATTCTTTCAGCCAGAATAGATCATCACTTGTGATTCCATACTCCAGTGCACCTGCAATCTATGGACAGATAGGTAAAAAGTTGAATCTTGAAGGTAAGTCCTGGCAGCAAAAGCGACTGCAATGCATTGYATTAACATAATGCATTGCATTAACAGAAGCAAAGCCGCTATGGAAGCGATCATTCCCCTTTACCCAGCTCTCGTTAAAGCACTTCTAGAACACTGTGCCCAGTTCTAGGCTTCTAAAAACAATATGGACAGTGATAAATCAAAACAAGTACAGCAAAAAGCTATTGATTAATCACATTATGGTTTTCATTTGTTTATCCTCCAAACATACATAATTATCTGTAACAAAGTTGTCAAGTGGCAAGTACAACTTACATGTGTAGGATATTTTGGTCTTCCTCCAGTGGCAATGACAATCTTCTCTGCAGTAATAACAATCTACAAACAATAATACACACTCAGAATGAAGCATGTGAAATCCTTCCACTTGTCTCTGGATTTTAGTTATGTACAAGATAAAGCAATTGATCATGCTATTGATCTGATTTATTGTTCAGCAGTACATTAAGAAAGATTGGTTATACAGCAAAATAGTAAAGAAATTTCTTGTATCCTTAACTGATACTGGTAACTGGTAACTGGTAACTGAAGGTGCAGAAGTCAGTAAAGCAGCTTACCTCTTTACCTGCTTTTGTTAAGCCACGGATTGTATGTGGATCTGAAAAACTCCCCTTGATGTTGAAATATTTCACCTTCCTGTTCAGGAGAAAGCAGCAACATACATGCACACTTAATGAGAATGAATAGGAATAAAATCGAACCAAATAATCTTTTCATATCTGAAGGGCTAACAAGGATAGCAACTAAGCAAAGTAAAAGGAACAAACTAATTTTATAGGATTGTTTTCAGCTCTGCCATATAATTTAGGTYACTTAATTCTTGTGTCACAGTGCACTCCTTAACATAGCAGAGAGAGTACCTACCTAACCTTGCAACATCTTTCGAGATCAGTTTACTSATCTCTTCAAATGATAGATGTTCCACATCCATATATGCCCATGTATGCATAGCATTATCATTTTGTTATAATGTTCATTTTACAACATACCAAAAGCAGTTTCAAGATCTGCTCTAGTCAACAGAAGTTACAAAATTATGTAGCCACTAAATTATCTATTAACATCATTTCTGCAAAGGAGAAACATGGCAATTCACAAACACGACCRATGTCCACTTGCTGAAAAACTTGGAACTATTTCAGCACAGAATACAAAAAAACAACTATTTTAGCACAGTACTATCTGTTTGCTTCTTAATATGGCACGTAAGTTGTAGCAGACAAGTTTGAAATAAACTTAAGTTAAACTTTAAGACAGACTATTTAATATTAATGAAAAATCTCCCCAGAGCAACAACAAAAATCACCTTACCTATGGCAAGGATACCCACAATCTTGAGAGTAAGAGACTTACAGACTCAAAACACTAGCTCCAACACGAAATTTCTAGGGCAATTCAGCAACTATACAAAGAGAAGTACTCTGTGGAAAGAAAGATGAATTTCAAAGTCCTATTTACTTGTCTTGTAGTTGTACTCTGTGGCCCCAGTTCAAGGACTTCACATAATTCTGAACAGCTTTAGCCATCACAGACCTATCACAAAACAAAAAACTGTGCATTAAACCATCACGTTACAAATTCAGAAACTACATCTCAGATGCATCTCAAGCTAGAATTAACAAATAGTACAAATAGTTCTTCTTATATCCAGTTCAAAACAACACAGTAAACTAGTTAAACTATGGTAAACTATTTAAACTATTATAAACTGTAATAAAACCTGTTAAACTAGTAAACAGAGGTTGGCCTTAAACAGCGTAGTCTAAAAAACTTTATGCGAAATTCACCTTCCTAACTGTCTTTTAAAAAACTGCAACAGGAAAGAGTTTTGTTGTTCACTCATGTGAATGTTATACATTCACAGAACAAAAGAGCGGATAGGGGCAATATTATTTACCAGGTATGCTGAACAGGTTGGGATATATTCCATCCATAGTGTTGGGCATCTTTAAGAGCACTTCCTAAAAGAGCTGCTTGATGCATAAGCTTTTTAGGAATACAGCCAACATTCACACAGGTTCCACCAAGTCCCCACTGGGTTCCTAAAGGGAAAAAAAAAAATAATGGAACAAGAACAGGTTAATTTAACTTAATGCAGCTAGGTTATTAATGGAATTAGGTTATTCATACAATTAGTTAAAAAATCTGTGATGGTAAACCGTTTGCTATCTCCAACAGAGCAGTTCCTAATTCTGTTTTAATTATTTTGTTTTGATGAAGAACATAACTACATCTTTTYCTTCAAAAATTCAAGATTTGTTAAAATTTTCTCATAGAATCAAGCATTATATATTCATATTTGCTTATTTTCATGTATGAAAATATTATCCTACTATTTTTCTTCCATACCTTGTGGAGAAGGTTCCACATAATCCAAAACAGCCACTTTCCTTCCAAACTGAGCAGCTTTAAATAAAGAAGCAAGAAATGTATTTAGAACAAATACATGAACCTAACTTTTTAATATCACAGGCACAGATCAACAATATAGGAGATGATGGTAGGTGGCTTACACTAATAATAAGATTCTAGATGGTCCAGGTTGGCAGTGAATCTTCAGGGGGCCCTTGGTAAACTGAACTAAGAGCCTCTACTTTCTACCAACCATAAAATACATCTCAAACTGTGTTTAATAACCTTGTGGGTTATTGAATGTGTTACACAGACTCATAAAGGGGAAGGTTCTCTACAGAAGTTAAACAGTCTTATTACACTGTTTTCTTAACACATAAATAAGTGCAAGATATAATTAAAAAAAAAATGTATTTATGGAGGAAAGTATTTTACAACAACACAGTAAAAACTTATTAAAAGTTCCTGGGACAATAGAGAAAATATCAAGGGAGGAAAAAAAAAAAAAAAAGAAAAAAGAACAGGAAAGTTACACAGGATCACCCCATCTTGTGTATGAACTAATTTGTAGATTAACTCTATAGGTTTGAGTTAATGATTAATGCACATGGATCAAAACCATGCTAGATGGRAAGTTTTAGCATTACTAGTACTGCTTCTTTCAGTTTCCATAAGCACACATTAAGCTAAAAGAAAGCTCTGGTTAGCTATTTATGCATACAAACCTTCTTTTGCACAAGCAAGGCCTCCAGATCCTCCACCAATTACCAGAAGATCATACTCATTCCTTCCTGTGGAGACAATATAGAAAAATTACTTAAAAAGGGGGRAAAATGGATCAGGTAAGAGAGATGGCAGAGGTAAGTTAAAAAGGAAATACTAAAAAGCATATGTGGATTCCACAACTGATTTTACYGGTGACTTGGGCTTTCATAATCTTGCTAGTGAGCTGTGTTTTATCAGTGCCCTGAAGCAACTGGGGGAAAGAGCTGAACTAGCTGGTCTGGTTGTGGCCATGACCCACAGGTGACAGAGCAACCCCGAGGGCGCGAGAAGCAGCTYGGAGCGCTCTGCCCCAAGGAGCAATCTGCATCCTGAGGCAAAGGCAACCGCTGCTCCCACACASGGCGAGGGTTTCTCCATCGTGGCCCCCATTCCCGTCGGGACAACTCTCACTTCTGGGCATAGGTGACTCGCAAGGCCTGCGGTTCAGGGGACAATGGCAGCAGGGTGATCTGCTCCCGACCCTCAAGGCCTCGTGCACCCTTGTGCCACTGGGCTTGGACAGCTCTCTGTCACTTTGAGTTTATGCTTAAAAACCCGACTTTTTGGTGGTCTGTGGTGATCCTCACAAGAGGGGATAGGAAAAACGGCAGCTTTGCCTTGCGGCTCCCTCAGCAGCGCAGGCCTGAGGGAAGGGACTGGGGAGAGGCCCTGTGCTGAGGGGTGACTGCTAAGGGAACCAGTGCCCCCCAAGGGAGCAGGGGGGCTGGAGGAACCCCCCTCCACCTCAGCGCGGGGACACAGGGCAGCCCGCGCCGCACGGGAGGCGCGAGCCCGGCGGGCGCCGCGTACCTGAGAGGCCCCGTGCCGTACGGCGCAGCCCCGAGGCTCCCAACAGCCGCCCCGACCTCCGCCACAGCGCCGCCATGTTGTACGGCACAGGGCCCCCGCGCGGGGCCAGGACCCCTGCGGGCTGCCCGCGCGGCGCCTGAGCGGCGGAGGAGGCGGCGGCGGCGGGTCGGTGAGGTGGAGCGGGCGGGAGAGCCCTCGGGAGAGGCGGGAGGGGGAGCAGAGGGGCGGCCGCGCGGCCCCGGCCGGGGTGTCGCGGGACGGCTCCGTGAGAGCAGCGGGCGGCGGAGTCTCGCCCTTGTGCGCAGCCCCGCGCTCTCCGGTACCCCGGTGCGGCGTTTCCGCACGCACGTGGTGGCCGTCCCCGCCGCAGCCGCCGGCGAGGCGCCCCCGGGGCGGCCGGAACGAGCCTCGCGCCTCCCCGCCGCTCCCGCACCACGGTTGTCCCGCCMAGGCGCAGCCAGCCCGCGGGCCACAGAGAGCCAACACGGGCCACCAGAATGGCTCAGCGGGATCAACGCCCGTCCCGTGTTATCCGCCCCTTAGGTTACTGCTGTCGGCCCACCYTGGGTCAGCACGAGCCATTAGGAAGCATTTTGGGAGCCGAAGATCCGAGGCGGCAGCGCGGACAGTGGTCACCGCAGCGCCACGGGCGCAAGGAGGCGTTTGCTGTTGGCGTTCGCCATGGCCCAACGGTGGCCATTGCTGCCGCGCGCCCCTTACACGCCAGAAATGCCCCCACAGCCGCGCCGGGGACAGGGAGTTGCCCCTTGCCCTGTGCAGAAGGAGCCTTTAGGCGGCCAGAAATGTGTTCCAGGTAGCCGTGGTMCAGGCTCCGGAGCAGGGCCTGGCTCGCAAGGGGGCAGCAGCCAACTGCTGTGATGGAGAGCCCGCCACATGGGAGACCGCGCTGGAAAAGGAGACTCCAGAGTCCTGCGGAACCAGCGTCCAGCCCTAGAGTAGGTCAGACTAAGTTTTCTTCTTTTTTCTTTTTTTCTTTTCTTTTTTTTTTTTTTTTTTTTTTTGCTCAGTGTTGATGCCTCAAACACATGAAATGGTAATTACTTACAAGTCAGTAAATGGATTAAAAATTTATCAAGTATTGCTGTTGTGAAAAATAAGGCTGCAACCCTCCTTGATGCAATTTGAAGTCATGGCATGTTGCCTCCCACAGCAGTGATCGATAAATCACTAGGAACATTCCTACCTGCTGCAACAGCAGTAGAAAGACTGAGAGCACTGAGACCCATAATTAAAAGAAACCTCAAGCATACTCAGATACTAATTATTTACACTCTTCAGGTAGCTGGTTGCAAAGTCATATTCAGCTGTTCAGTTTAGTCACTGTGCTGAGCTGAACTAAGCAGTGCTGAGCATGTGCTCTGCACCCCACATTCAAGTCACATGCATCAAAGGTAAAATGTAAATCTCTCCAAATATAAAATACATCTTATGTTAGTAAAAAATTGCTGCAGCATTATGGTGACTCACTATTAAGGAAAGGCTTTAAATATGGCAAGAAGTTCCCTTTAAAGATCACYATCAGTGGCAATTTAGAAAAGAGTTGCTGACAACTTTGGAATAATGCTTCTGAACCAGTTAAGGATAAAGCCCTGGCCAAGGGCCCATGTAACAGTCACACTGTAAACTATTATTCCTGATGCTATCATTACTGTAGAGCTCAGAGTCTACGTGTACCACAGCCTGCACAGTGGTGATGAATTTATAGCTTCTTTTAGATAGTCATGACTTCCTAAATGTATATACATTCCCTCTCTTCTGTAGCTTAAGCACAAGTCATTCACTTGAGCTTGGCATCCCACTTAAGTCATCTATGGAAGAACTATCCGAGTTGCTGTTGTGCCACAAGCAGACTGGGAAGCTGGGATGTCCCCAGTCCCCTGCCTGTATCTCACAGATAAGTCACTGCAGAGATATGGAGGTGAAAGCCTTCCTATCTGGACCCCCTGCTTAGAAAGAAAGTACTTGTCAATCAGACAAGTAGCCACTGATGCTTACTGCAGTGCTGAGGGTGTCTCTGRTATACTTGAAAAACCTTTGTCAGGGACCAGGACCAGTGAAATTCTGGTTAATGGGTGTAGTTTTGTAGTTAGCATTAAGCTAATTGGAATAAATGAAATGATATATATTTTATCTGACCGCATACCTTATTTTTTAAAAAAACGCACTTGAAGTCTGTTTCAAGTAGAAGCAGATGCTTTGTAATATCAGGAAACATTTACATGCAATGTGGTGTTTCTGTGGTGAAAGTAATCTCCTATGTTGGGTGGGACTTGGTTTATTTCCAGGTGAGATGTTTATTCTGGGCATTTTAAACAGTGCAATAACAAAAGGGCAACGGAAACACAGCTGTGACGCACTTCAGAAGCAAATATAAATGCGTTCAGCAGAAATTTAGGTTCTCTGGTGCACAAAGCGGTTCTGATATCAGGTGGCCTTTCTCATTTTGAATTAATTTTAAGGACAACTTGAACTTTTTTTTTTTTTCTTCTTTTCTCATATGAAGTACCTTCTGCTGCCTTTAGCAATGGATTATTTAAATTTCTCCTCATGAAGACAGCCAGGTCAGGACACCTCCTCTATCTGATACTTCAGAAAGCCTGATGGTTGAACCATGTTGTCTTTTCTTTCCTGCTTTGCAGGCATCGTTTGCTTTATATTTAATGTTCCCAGATCAGCAACTTGGCAGTGCGGAGGAAGATGAAGGGGAGTATTGCAGATACCATATTTGAAACTCATCACATTGTTTCTTTTTTCCTGAGAAGGGTGAGGGTGGAGTTGGAAATAGCTTCTGATTATATCAGAAGCTACATTTATGGCGTGACCTAATTAATCATTTGTATTAGTGGCAATGAGTTGTACTGGATCACTGGGGGAACTAGGCGATACAGCTTTATGGTTTCTTTACATCTCCCTTGCAATTGTATGTATTTTTTTTCCCCTCCTTGCTSTTGCTCTGCAACTGTGTGCCAGGATGTCCTTGGCATTAAGGAGCAGAGAAAGGAAAAGCACTGGTGGCACCGTGGAAGGAAAGGATGAAACATGGTGAAGGTGAAAGTGAAAAAAAAAAAAAGAAAAAAAAAAAAAGCAGAATAAGTGATATCAGGAACCTGCCTTTTTTTTTCAACGCAAAGTAAAATCTGCTCACAATGCAAATCACTTGGGAACATGGAAAGTATCCTAAAYTGAGGGCTGTGGTGACAACGGAGGACACTGAGTTGTCACCGAGAAGCAGATCATGGGTAAACAGTGGAAGTTTTTTTTAGACTTTTATCTCAGGCTTCTTCACAACTGAGATGATTTTCCAGCTTTTTTTTTTTTCTTAGAAGATGGATTATTGCTTTACAATTGCAAGAAGGAGTCTGTGACAGTTGATGACAAAACAAATTCTGCTGTATCTGAAAAGAGAAAACCTTTCTGAATTCTGGGCCTCTTTCAGTGGGATTCTACTTTTAAAAGCTTTGACAAATCAATCTTTAGGAGAGGTATAAGGCAAACTTATAAGGGAAGAAAATGCCTAAGTTTTGTTTTTGTGATTGTAACAATGACCAGATAGAGTTCAATGAAAAGTCTATGGAGGCTGCTCTGAAAACATATGTAAAAAACATATGKTTTATGTTTTTTTTTCAGGTTTATGAACTAATGCACAAGAAACATTTGTGCACTAGTTCATAAACCCAGACAACGCTTTAACATTTGAACTTTGCTTTCYCCCTTTTTGCTTTTTTATTTTCAGAAATTTATCTGAAAGTTAGGCCCTTTGTTGCTCTGAAGTTCATCTATGCCATTTCATTCTTTGCTTCCTTAACATAGATTTCTGTGTTTATGGCTTGTCCTTAAAAACTAATTGATTTCTAACAATTGAAACAGCAAGAACAGATGAAGTTTCAAGTAACATAAGTTCTTGATTTTGTTCAAAAGAGTYAGCATATGTCTGAAAAGAAGTGTGGGGAGAAGATACAGAAATATGGTAGATCTCAGTGAGCATTTTCAAAGGTTTGTAAGGAGCCATGAAGCCTTTGGAAGCAGGAAGCTTTTTCAGTTTAAATGATAACCTCTTTAAGATGCACAATAAACATTGCATAGTCTAGCTGCTTGCATTATCTGTTAATTTTTAGAATATAATTTTACTGGCCACTTTTCTTCTCTTTTCCTATTTTAGGTATCTCCGGGTAGTTTCATACATGAGTGATACTTCCTCTTAAAATTCCTCTTTTTCATGTTTCTCAACAAGAGAAGCTAATTTGACTGTAGCAAACAGCAAACATACATAAAAGAAAATCCCTCCTGCTATTCAGAAAATGCAAGCTCCAAAGGATTCCTTTTCACTCAGTATTTCACATGATCTGTGGGCCTGTGATAATGTGCTAGCTCTCCTGTCTCTCGTTGTTTAGCCTTGTAAAGAACAGGCTTTGGCTGGGGTTAGTGGGCAAAGGGAATGACTGTTGTTTTGCCAGGCGTGGATTTGCAGGGAGAGCTTTAGCTCCTTGCTGTGCAGAGGCAGTGGGGATAGCACTGCCCTGTTGCATTATGTGGTTGCACTGTGGAGTCTGCATTTGAGACTGGGGTCTKTGTGCAGGACAGGTCTACTCAAGTCTGTGCAGTCACACTTGAACTTGGCCTACACTCTGAGCCAGCCCTATGCTCTGATCTCTACAGCCTTTAGTGTGATGCTGTAACCAAGCTAAGGCACCCAGGGTTTGCATCTTCCCCAAGACCTGCTCCATGAATGTAGTATCCTAATGCTCTGCAAAAACCTCATCCATCTTTTCGGACCTTGTTCTTACACAAAATATGTATTATGTCTGTTATTTCTAACAGAATGTGTTTATACTGGGATAAATCTAGACAGGGTAAGTTACGTGAGCAGGGGTACAACTATCTACTCTAGATATTGCAGTTTATCTGTTGGCCAGAACTTACCAAAGGAGTATCCATACCCAGATAGATGCTTTCTCGAGCAAAAAGTTAAAGGTGTAAGCCAAAGTCTTAACAGCCAGACAAAGAAATTTCTCATTCAGAAAATTACACCAGAATAATGCATCACAAGAGCTCAATTCTTTTCTGTCTGCCATTTGGCAGCAACTTTGGGCTGTTATCACAGTTTGGGTACTAAGCCAGACGAACCTATGGCTTTATCTCGTTTTGCAGTTAACTACCTCTTGTCAGTTTTACTTATGTAATGAAATAGCTAGACAACAGAAAGGATTACATTGCAGCACGCCCTTTATCATACAAGTACACAGTTGTGGGCAGGCAGAAGCAAGTTTGCTCCTCCCATGCTTCTAGCCTGAAGAATATGATTCAGCTTTAATCTAAAAGTCCTTTAGAAGTTTTGTCATAGGACTCTTCTCAAACTGGTAAGCCTTGGCACTAATGTATCCTAAGGAAAATCTGGGCTGATACCACCCACCAATTCATGACTGGGTGTAGTTAACTCTAAGAACACCCTCAAAGAATAGCTGTACTCTTACAGAACAACACCACTGCATAGAATTAGCTTTCCTGTTTTCAGTTCTTTTCACCACAGCCAAGTAGGAAAATAAATTCTCACTTAAAATTGACTGTGGGTGGCATCACGGATCTTGTGGACACAACCTGTCATGCTTTCAGAACTAGCTTTCAACCAGACAGGAAATTACTGTTGGTGAAGCTGGAGTGCACTATTGCTTTTTTCATTCTTTGTTCTGCTTGATGTCTGGATTATAAGAAAATATTTGTTGAGCTAAAGCTCTGTTAGATGGGGAAGGGATATTTCAAAGCGATTCTGTATTGACATTGGGTACTCTGCTATATTCCATGGTCTTAGTTATGTTTCGTTTAGAGTTACAAAATACACTTTGATCMTCACTTTTATCTGCTTCCTACAATTCTTTATTCATTTCATCCACCTCAGATGTTTATCTAGTGCTCTGAGGTAGCCCCTAATTCTTTCAAGGACCTTTTTTTCTTCTCCCCTCATATGACAAAAGCCTGTTTTCAGTCACCCAGGTCCAGCTGTTGCCAGTTTTTCATACAAACCCTTTCTTCTTTGAATCCTGTAAAAAGTGTCTAGGCTAGAGCTTCAAACACTGACTAGGTCTGAGCTTTCTAGTGAGAATGCAACAGAGAACTACTGTCAGCCTGTGTGGTTTGGGGCTTTGAAATTTGCTTCTGTGGTGCAGTTTAATTGCAGCTTGATTATACTCTGTGTTCCTCTCCACCGCAAGGAAACAAGATAGACAGTCCAGACAAGAAAAAGAAACCCCAAAACTCTGTTAGAATAAACCCCTTGTTTTATCTCTAAGCTCTTTTGTTGTACAACATTTTTCTACTAGAAGCTATAGAAATTAAAATATATTCATAATACAGCAATTGCACCTCCTTCTCTAGTTGCTGTTAAGCAATGTGCTAAACATACCTCCCTTCCCCTCCCTCCAGCCCCACTCTRTATTTAATCCACATGCCTACGACTTGTTTCTGCGACTTCTGCACTGGCAGTAGCACGTCTGAGCTGAAAAGAGAACTAAATCATTCCAAATTCATTCCTGCAGTTGCTCGACTGAACACAGTGCATTTACAGTGAGCACAGATTTGGCTCCTACCTGACTTTGTCAGCATTCACTGTGCTGTAACTAAGTAACAAGAACAGTGGCATTAGAAGACAGATGAACAGCTTTCTTCAAGGTCATTAGAGCACCGAGCACCTTTAAGGAGTGCAGAAATCTGTGAAGAAGGAGTTGGGGAAAAGGACTCTGCTTCTTTTAGAGTGTGTGTAACAGAACTGATAAGCTATTCCTGTGATGTGATCAAATGTGACTGAATACTGCAGGCTCTTGGACTCTTATTCTGTAAAATCCTCATCAGAGCAGCTCAGGAAAAGATCGGAGGGAACWGCTTCTGCTGTACTGAGAAGGTACATCTTTCTATTTTACTGTTTCTCGGACCTGACATGTTTTGTTATCTTTGATATTTTAGACAGCCCTGACTATGAAGAAGCAGCGTTTGCCACGTTTCTCCCTGGCACTCGTTGTCAGGAAGCCAGGCTGTGGGCAGCAACAGCTTTCACGGAGAAAGAGTAGGACATATTTGCGTGTAATGTATTTGTCTTCTGTTGTAAACCCTGACAACTGAAGAAAGCGAGATGAGATAACTGTGACTAAAGGGAAAATGTAATTTATGGCTCTAAGTATGCTGGAATTTGGTACTCATTTGTGCTGGAAAAAAAGTCAAATTTAAGTTGAAGCTTCAATTATATTTGAGGACGAATAACGGCTTTTATAAATGTGTTGCTGCAGCTGTATTTTATGTGGGTTTTCTTTCTGAGCAGGGAATTCTGTTAGAGCAAAATGTCTCTGAAGTACAAAAAACCCAGGACTTTTGCTGCTAACTCTCTTGCTGTTTCCAGTGTATCTCTCTGATGTCCTTTATGGACATCCTTTATCTTCTGTCCTTTAAAAACAAACTCTTATTTACCGGTGCTATCAAGTGTTGCTCAGATCAGTGAGCTCCATTAATCATCTCTGCACTTAAACTTACTTTTTCTAAGCTTAGCCAGCCACAAACTCCTCTAACAAAGCCCTCAGGTTTAGAGTACTGTGTATTTGCACAAACTCACATTACTTAAGTATAACATAAAAATGACCTAATTTACAGTTTTAGTTTGCATCAGAAGGAAAAAGGGCTTAAGCATGTTTACACTGCAAACAATTTACTTGTGTCAGTCAAGTTTAGCAGTATTTTATTCAGCAGCCTGGAGCTGGGATCAGGTTTATCTCTGCCATCCTGGCACTGTTGTCTTTCAACATTCCTCAGGCTCGCTGAAATTAGAACTTACCAGGAATTCTCTGCAAAAACATAATTTTGGCAGCAGCCTTTGAAACCAAATATTAATGTGTGAGGCCATACCAGTTTTGATGAAACTCTGTTCAGGAGGGATTTCTCAGGAAGCCGCTTCAAGCTAAAATAGAGACACCCTGYGCCCACTCCAGCCATTTTGCTGGTGTGGGTGTTTGCTCTGAATTTGAGTGAGCTCTGCAGCCCTGCTCTGTCTCAGTCCCAACACCTCTTTCCAGGCCAAGTGCTTTTTTATCTCTGGTGCTGTTAGAGCTGTTCCTCTTCATAGAAATAAAGCTTCATTTCGTCAAGGATTTACTTGCAGCTCTTGCAGATCCTTCAGGAGGTGTCCTCCCTATCAGTGTTCAGTCCCGCAGCCTCTGGGCCCGGAGAGCAGTTTGTGCCTTGCAGGAGGCTGTTGCAGGAGAAAGACAGATTTATTCTAGATTAGCTGGTAGCCTTGGCAGCAGAGCAGGATGGCAGTGGGGATTTGGGACACTGACATCCAGTCCTTGGCTCTTGTGATATAAAGAGAGAATGTGCAATAGATTTGTCAACAGGTGATTACGCTGAGGACAGCTAGCCATTTTGGTAGAGTTTAAGGACATGCAATGTCTTTCAGTCCCTTCTTGCAGCCTCCACTGGGGGAGAAAATGAGACAGAGAGTCATTCAAATAGCTTATTTGCCCTCCTTGAAAGCATAAAAACCTCAACTGAGAGGTTGTTTTCCTGGTGTGCTGCCAGGGCTTAGCACTCAGTGCATTCAGCAGTTTACCATCTCCCAGGTGGGAGCCATACGGCTCAGCTCAGTTATACCAACCCCAGGCTCAAAACAGCAGTAAAAATAGTACAGACACATCTAGAGGTCTGCAGAGGGAATAAGGACTCCTAGAAACAAATGTTTTCTAGGGTCCTCTGAACAGGCCTTACTCCTGAAAAAGGTGTTGTTAGTTAGGGGATGTATTTCACAGTAAAGGGTATTTCATATTCTTTTCATGTCAAATTGTGGCATTAACCCTGCAGCATGTTTGCTGGGCAAGCCTAGATGTGAACTCTGCAGACCCCTCATGGACCTGCTTGTTGCAAGGATAGGAGGCCTCTCTGTGAGACCTGTATCTTCTCAACTCTAGTCTGTTTTACTGATCCCACAGTCACTATGTGAACATTTTCCTTTGGCTAACAGCACTGAACGTCATTAGGCAAAAGCTACTGAAAAGGGACATTTAAGTGGGTGGAATATAATTATCCTAATTGAAATCTGTCCAGGGGAAACAGAGTTAAACACCCTTATGAAGCTTAGTTGATGGGATTCCCTAGAAGATAATAGGCAACTTTCTGTTGTTTTTAATTCACTAAACGGAAACTTGTGTTTGTTCCCTTCCAAACTGGGAAGAGGGAAGTGAAAAGACAAAAGGACTAGGGAAAAAAGAAAGAAATTAAATCAGCAGAACTTTGCCTTTATGGAGGTCTGAAATTTTTGTAGTCATGGAAATGAAGCTAATTGTGCTTCTCTGAGAACTCTAGGAAGAAGGAAATTGAAATTTCATGCAAGAAATACTTAGTGGAAGATTATATAAAGTCAGTTGAGCTTGTTTTCATGATGTCAGTGGAAAATCTGAATCTCAAAAGACCAGACTAAGTTTCTATTAAAATACAAGATATTCACAGTTGGCAGTATGCTGACTGTTTTTCACTGTATTGCACTCATTTGAAAATAAATAAACCATAATGAAAGAATAAAAGATAAAAAGATATATTTTGACTTTTAAAAGACCTAAAAAAAAAAAAGTTTAGGCCTTTTAAAAAGCCCTAAAATACGAAGTTGTTGAATTGTGTTGCAACAACACCAGGTTACAATATATTTAAACGTTAGTCTAGACTTTCTGACCAAAATATTCTGGTATTTTTGCTCTGGGAAAAGTTCAAGAAAATCAAATTGCCAGAAAACAGAAACAGAAATTGCCTCAGTCAAGAGAACATAGGACAAGGAGCCAGAAACTCCAAGCCTAATTATGACACCACCCAGATCTAATCCAGCCTTGTGCAGAGCAACAGACTTTTAAAATAAGCGTGGAAAAGTGCTGACGCTTCTGCGTTGTTTTCGCGGTGCTTCCCAGTGTTCTTCAGGCTGTCAGATACTTAAAAGACATAATTCCAGCCCAACTCATTAAAAAGGTCAAACTTACCCTCTTGAACGTTTTTAATGCTTTCTTTTAAATCCCTCTTACAGGAGGAAATGTATATGGGTGGTAGTGATGGGGTTAATCCGTTAATTTTTGTGGCCTTTGTAGAAAATCTCTAGAAAATTATTTCAATTATTACATTCTCTCTGGACCCTTAGCAGTGCAACAAGTTCAGGCCCTGTTGTCCCTGAGCACTGTACTACAGCAGTCCAATTGTATATTACCATCAATACCATTAGGCTGACAGAGASATACTTTTGTGGGGAAGAAAAAAGGTTTTAGGGTATAAATTTACCAAGCACTCCCCATTCACCAGGTTATGTGAGCTAATAAAGTCTAAATTAGATTCTAAACCCTTTAGCATCAGAGTGCTGTAGTACTGTCTGAATGCTTGGAGACTCGTAATAAACTCTTGAACCAGCACTTGGCARTTAGATTAAATGCATGAAAAATTATAGCAAAATTGGTTGTAACATCATCTTTCCTCCAAGGCCTGATTTCTCAGCAAACAGAAATAACCTATGGAAAGCATTAGAAGCACTGTTTGCTTCTAYGTTTTTTTTCTCCCCTGTTGTTCATGAAGTCAAAAATATTTATGTCACATTGGCAATTACTRTGTTGGTATCCTAAAATGGATCTCTGGTTAATACTAATAAAATCACTTTGTTGATCCTYGGGTGTCATCCATATAACCATACCAAGGGCTTTTCTAACAAGAACTTCACAACACCTTGAAAATTTCAGTATCCATTTTAAGATAAACTTACTCTTGTAGCAACAGAGATGTAGGCTAGACAGCTTGCCCAAGGGCAAACTATTGCTGAAATGAGACTAAAACCTAAATCCCCTGACTCAACATGACAAAGTTCACTCTCATTTTAGTCCTGAGAAAAAGCTAATGAGGAATGTCTAACATACACACTGTCTTCATAGAGAGATTTTTTCTGTGATTATGGCTAGGATTTCATTTTCAGTATTAAGTAAAGCAGTATTAGTTTATCTAAGCTAAAATCATAATGAGAGACTCTGTAAGTAGGCTTATTTAGATTCTTTTTGATTAGAAAAAAAAATTATCCAAGTCTTCACCTCCCTAGTACTTTAATAACAGTCAGCTCTCATTTTTGTATCTGTAAGACATGAGGTCTTGTTAATTATTCATAATATAATGAATCAAGCTTCAGAATAGTTAAGTAATCATATTTAATACTTGTTTAATCTCTTAAGTGCTGAACCCACTAAGACATGTGTCTGTATTAAACATCAAAGTATTTAACYTGTTTACTATTAACATCTTATTTTTCCTATCAGAATATAATAGTTTTACTAGAGAGATGTTGTTTTTGAAAGCGATAGGGAAACAGCAGCAATCACCAGCTTAGATCAATCMCCCATACACCTTCCTCTAATACTGATAGGAAGTCTCCATAAAATTTTTATGAAACACTGAAAAAAAAAAAATCTCAGCTTGAATTTCATCTGGAGTTACCTTAAAAAATTACACTACCAATTGRGCTACTTTTTAATTTTAGGAACTTCCAATACATTTTTTTTTAAACAATGCTTGAAGAATTCTGCAGAATTCCTGATAAATAGATAGCATTACTAAAAGGTCCTTAAAGTAACCTTTGGTAAAATGGCAGAAATCGTCTTTACAAGAATAAAGAAAAAGGATACATATATTTTCAATGCATCTTTAGAAAAAATTGTAGGTCKCCTAACAGGAATTCTCTAACTTTACAACTGTTGGCATAATGGCAGTTGCTTAAGTCTGAACCAGCCTTTCAAGGCTTCTTTTAAAGCCACTGAAATGCCCTACATATTCTGTGTTCACAAGTAAGTGAGCTGGGGCAGCAGATTCCCACAATTTATGTTAGCTTCTTTCTTTGAAAGTGCARTTTTTAATCTTTGAAAATTGGAACAGAGATACTCCCATTTAAATGCTAATTCTTTTATTAAGATTAGCATCAGGGGAAAAATGCTGAATTGCAGTAACAAGTTATAATTTGGTCTTACGAAATCCCCCCCCCCCCCACACACACAAAAAAAGAGTAAGATTAGATGCATAAGAAAAGAACCCAGTGCTTTAGAAAGACTTGACAGTAGTTTGACAAGTTTGGGCATGAAATTTTAATATATTTTCTTTTAAATTCTGTCTTCTTGAAGACAAATTTAGCGATATGTGTTATTCATCCCTTTCTATGATGTTATCGTTCCAACTTTCTGTTTATTCCCTTGCTCCATTTTACATTTTCCTACTCTTTTCCACTTCMAATTTTATCTTTCAGAGAGAAGGATCAGTTTACCCTTATTATCACATGTATTTGGAACCTCAAAACAAGCATTAAATAATAGGAATGACTGCCTTGTAGTAAGTGGCCATGGGAAACTTGTCTGTGTGCAAGTTCAGTTTTACTGTATATTTAATGAATCCCATGGATCCACATTAAAGCTAAAATTGCAGTTGCATTTTTCTAAAGCTGTCATAACATGACTGTCTCTTATGTAGTGGTATTTTTAAATTGGTTGAATTATGCACTTAATTTTCACATCAAGTAGTTGCCAGGTAAGAATATGAAAAGTATTACCTATTTTGGTACAGATTTATTCCCTCTGGATACATGACCGCTATCAGTGCATCTTGCTCTYGACAAACTGCTTTTACGTTCTAGGGCTATCGCTAAATTTATTTCCATATCCAAGAAGACAGATATTGTTTTGAGATTAAAAGAGGGATAAACTTGGAAAAAGGGACTGCTTTTTAAAAAAAGAAGGTGGAGAAATAAGACCCAGTCCGTTGTGTTCCTTTTAAAACCTAACTTCTCTAGAAACTCACTTTTTAAGATGATTGCCTCTCAAAGGAGGATTATTAAGAACAACGTGTATTGCAAGTTTATCAAGGTGCTGGAATGTTGTACAGCAATAAAACCCCCTAATAATTGAAACAAAATTTTCAGCACAGCAAAAACAAGCAAGCTAACCAGGGCTTTGAAAAAGGCATCATGTATCATGTAGGTTCTTGCTACCAGTGACCAAAATTTATCTCTGAAGACCTTGGAGGCAGCTCTTCAAAAGTCAGATTCCTATCAGAAAAAAAGTATTAGCTTTTCTGCGGAATAGAAACCTGGGCTGAGTTCAGTGGAAAGTAGCTCTAAAGATTAATCTACAAATGCTGTTGCTCCTTGTTTTGTGAAATCCCACCAGGTGGTCTTTTATCTGTACTGAGCAATAAAGGGGCAAAGTTCTTGCTGTTTGCARGTAACTTTCAGGACAGCCTCGCACAGTGGCACAGCAATAGTCTACATCAGTTTTGCTCAGAGGATTCAGGACCATCTACTGTAACCTGGGAATTAAAACTGGAAACATTGTGAAATGATTGATATCACCAAGAGAGTTTGTAGCTCTAGAAGTGCCCAAGTTTCAAGGCGCTGATACTCCTGGCTCATGCAGATCCCCTTATTTAAGTCTGAAAGATTGGACATCCCTTGGCAGCAGTTAGTGGTTTCTGCTGTCCATACATTTGCTGTTCAAAATAACTGTCAGCTCTCCGTTCTGTCAAAAATAAGCCAGGAAAGCCAAATGACATCAACTAGAAAGATATTTTTCTGTTAAGTCAATGGTGTTTTTCATAGTCCAAGCCAAATCCCTAAGCAACAGTGGATTTGGAGCAACTTTATGCAGAGAGACTGAAAAGAGCAGAAACTGCATCTAGTAAGGCCCAGGATAGTTAATTTTGTCAGCAGAGAAGGGAAGGAGCAAACTGACATCCTTACCGAGGTGCAAAGAAAGCCTCTTGCTGTCTAGGAAGCAAAATAAAGAAAAACCCAAGATGTCAGATTTCCATGTGCTAGTGATACTAACGAGCCCTGAAAGGAAGTATCTTGGGTCAGTCTCTGCAAGGAAAATAGTAGAAAGATAAGTATTAACACCGATGACTATCAAAGACAGAAGAAGGAGTCTTGTGAAGGCTCCAAATAAATTGTACTTGCTGTGCGGCTGTGGTAGGCGGTGGGTGAACGGGCGGCAGCTGGAGTGTGGGCTGAGCGCGTCTCCATGGCAACCCAGCCATCTTGTGAACTCGAGTGTGCTCTGCATGAAGACACGGGATTTAAGGAACTGGGAGGGATTATTGCCATCTTTCCCAAACTCTGAGGGAAAACAAGCTAAGGAGGAAGTAAGAAGAGGAAGGTCGAGATTCTAAGGGAGATATTTCGCCAATTATATGGTCTCTGTCCAATTAATTTTTGGTCTCTGGCAGTTTAGGCAAAACTTGTGAGGATCTTCTTGCAGCTCCTGTAGCAGCAATGGTTCTGCTGAACTTCAGGCAGGGGGAACATTAATGCAGTCACAGGTGGAAGCTGTTCACCATAATTAGTAAGCTATAAAAGGCTTAACAGGAGGAACCAGAGACTTCCCAAGAGTTGATTCACAAGTCCTTTAAAAATAATAGTTTAAAACCAGCACAACTCGCTGCACTGGCCCCATGCAAGGCAGCATACTATGGTTAAGAAAGAATCTTCCAAATCCTTGAGACCTGTGCTCAAATACCAGACTAGATTTCAAGAACAAATGAGCCTTTCATTAACTCCTGCTGCTAAGAAGAGCTCCTTCCAGCCCGTGCTCTGCATCCAGCCTGCAAGTCACAGCCCTTAGTTTTACACTCTCTCAAAGGCTAAATCAAATCTTTAAGAATCATTTCTTATCAGGTCTTTTATGCTGTGACTCCTGCATGGAAATAAAAGCACCTTCCTTATACTGTATACTGTCTTGTTTGAAAWCCGTGAGAGTAAATGGCTTTGATAGGATTTACTGTGAGCTGCACAGGGTGACAGGTATCCCATCTGGTGAGCTTTGTGTTTGGGTGCCCTGAGCTCACAGAGATGGACAGATACACACATACACACATACACACATACACATATCCATTCCATGCTGTGCCCACATGGAAACCTGCAGCTGTAACACTGAGTTTCAGGGGAAGAATAGACACAATCCTATCAGATAATTACAGCCTGCACATCAGAGAAAAAATATGTGCTCTTCCTTCTCTTGAGTTTCACAAAGCTGGGCATTTCTTTGCTTCAGGAATTTAGCTTTGCATTTTATAACCATTGAAAAAACATTCCCACTTAAATATATGTGTATATATGTATCTTTCGTTCTCAGAAGGGTCAGACGGATAGCTTATGTCAGAGGTTTAACGAGCAGGGCAAAGGCTGCCATCTTCGGTAAGCCTCGACAGCTGAGTCTCCACTACAAGCTCTGGAARGAGGGACGCTGCTTGAGTCCTACTGATCCATCCCGCTCTGTTTCTCTGCAGAGCGTGAGCTCTGCCAGAAAGGCAGGGGCGAACAGGGAGGGCTGCACGCAAGGTAGYTCCAGACTCAAAGGTGAGGAGTTCTCTGTTCTCCTGCCAAACCTAGCTCAGAAGTTTCCYGCTGCTCAAAGATTAGAGTGAGATCACATGCAGAGTCTAATTATTTAAGTTTTTAAATCCTTTAAAAATGGTTAGAAGGGGTTTGGTGCTCATTAGAGCCTCCTTGTGCAGTGGCATGTTCGGAGGCAGGACTGAGCAGCTGCATGGGGGAAGGGATCAGAGCATTAAATAAAGCCACTTGTTGACTGCCTGGAGAATTTGCCTCTAAAGGGAGTGCCACAGAGCACTGCCCATCACTGAGTGACAGAGAAGCGTTTTCAGCTATTTTATACAGTGCTGTAATTAAACTCAGCATGTTCCTGTTCAGCATGGTCRTTGTAGATTATTCAGCTTAATATTTATACAAAAAATAGCACTCCCCTGTACCACCTTAACCCTGAGCTGTTTTTTTCTCTTCATTCCAGATGCTGGAGAGTTCTTCAAGCCTTTTGTTCATTGTATTCATTGTGCTCTTCCTTGTGCTCCTCTTTGCTGTGCTCATCAAGAGAAACGGCACCGCTGCCCTTCTCTGGAATGAAATAATCCGGGAGAATATAATCAACTTCGTCATGAATCAAAGCAAAGAACAGAGGATTTTAAATTTTGTGCTGCAGAATGCAGTCAGAGGGGACCCCTCTAGTGTTGTGGATACTATAGATAAGTACTGCTCGGAGAAAGAGTGGGCCATGAACGTGGGCAATGAAAAAGGTAATTGCATTGGGACATCTTGAAATAGCATTTGAAACTAGTGCAGTACAAGACATGTTACTGAGTTCACCCAGCCACTGCATCCTTGTGGTCAGCAAAATAATTCTGCAGACAATAATGCGTGCTTGTGCACATGGTTGTCTTTAGGAATGGGTCTCTAGTGAGATTCAGAAGTCATGGGACTAAATCTGATTGTGTGTGTTTTGTGTGCTGCAACTGTGGGAAACTAGAGCTACATTGTTCTTAATTCCCACACAGGGTGGCTTTGATGCATAACAAGATTTTTTAACTGAAAGATGCTACATAAGTATTTTAAACCACATCAATTCTGTATCTGCAAACAAGACAACATACTTTTGAAGGGAGAGATTCCACCCATGTAATATATAGCAGCAGCTATCAGACTTAGCTTCTGCTTATCAAGAAAAGTGTCTTGTTCTCATCTCCTAAAAGAAGCTATTTTATTTTTCTTAGATACAGGGAAGTCTACCCATGGTTTCAAAATGCAGTCTTTTCATAAAACTGTAATGGCAAAATGTTAATATATTCCCTTGGARTTAAATACAAAAGCTTTCCTTACAGTATTATATTTTCTGGTGGGAAATTGTTAGAGGAATTCATTTAGTCTAGGATTAACATAGCTAATGAAACACAACTTAGCACTGTAATAAAAATGCTCCTATGTCATGGGTACATTTTGTGAATTCACTTGCTTTGCATATACGCTGGGGTGCTTAGGGTAACAGAACAGCAGACAGTGGCCAAAAAGGAATTGTTAAAACTCTAAATTTAACAATCACTTGGTGTATTTCTAAAGGCTTTACTCTAGTCTTTCTTTGACGAGATGACTTTTCTTCAGATGAGCTGTAGAAAGCCAATGCATCTTTAATTCCAAGAAGCCCAAAGTGACCACATAGTTTCAAACATGAGTGATAACACAGCATATTATTCATAAACAAGTGACCCATAAGAAAAAGAATCACTTAATAATATGCACGTGGATGATTAGAAAATAGATGGGTCAGAGAAGAATACCTTCAAATACCTTTTAAAATCAGATGAAAAATAAAAAATATCTTTTTTTTTTTCTCACCACTAACTTACCCTTCTGTATATAAACCACTTCAATTTTGTCAAAAGTTAATCCATTTCCATTTTTTTTTTTAGGTAAGATTTTAGACAAGACGGTGGAGGAAGTCAGCCCTTCAGTTGTTCTGGAGCTGGGAACGTACTGYGGCTACTCGGCAGTGAGGATTGCTCGGCTGTTGAAGCCTGGTGCTCATCTCCTCACTGTGGAGTTCAACCCAAAATTTGCTGCTATCGCTAAACAGATGATCGAATTTGCTGGAGTACAAGATAAGGTAAATACCATTTGTCTGTGGTTGGTACAAGCAAGTGATACATGGAAAATGGGAATATATCCAAAGAAGCAGCAATGATAGGTTTACATTCATTATTCTACTTGCCAAGCAAGTACAACATCCTAAATGTTTAGGAGCAAGCAGCCTTTGACGGACAGGCTTGATAGCAGGGAAAAACTGGTAAAGTTGTAAGATTTCCACGCAGAAAACCAAGGCAATTTGCTCTTTTGCGTATATACTGTGAGCTAAATGAATTACAGCAGTCAGAGACCCAAGTATGGTTCAGACTTAGTAGCAGGATCAGGGTAGAGTTTTGGACTTGTCAAGTCTCGACAGAAGGAACCAAGATGTCCAGGACTCCCAAGATTCTGTGCTGCCTGAGTCTGAATGAGGATTCAGAGGCACGAGGGCAGAACCAACTGCTTAAATCCAAGTCTCCTAACATCTGAAAGCTTTTAGGCTTCATCCTCCTGTTTGTCCTCCTTACAGTTCAGTGGTTACTGCAGTGGTTGCAGACAATTTCCTGGCAGTTCACTGTGGGCTGTTATTGCAGCCCATAGTGACTGTAAGAATACAGGTCTGGAGGGAAGCTCCCAGGTCAGTGTTTCATTTGTTACAGTCACAGGACCTCAGCTCACAAAGTCATCTTAAAATTAGCAATTGCTCTTGCAGAACTGGTTAGATTTGCTACTGTTATGCAACTACCCACAAGCTCCTCCCTGCTGATAATCAGAAACTTATGATTTCCAGAACGGTTATTTTGTTTTCCCTTATTCTTGCACCAGCAGTACTCATTTGTTTAACTAGCTTCTTGCCTAGCTTACACTCTAGCCTCTCACAGGAGTACAACTGAATAATGCAGTGTGTCACCTTCCACAAAAGCTAGGCTAGAAAATTACTTTCCTGCTTATAAACCAGTGTGTTGAAATCAGTGTCAAAACTGAGTTTGACAGAAACCTGAACCACAGTCTAACTTGTTACAARATGTCACAGGAAGCAGTTGCCTTATGTGCAGTGGTGTTACATGCTTCAGATGAGATGTACCTGTTCAGATCTTGATGGTCACAATACAGACACCTGTATTTTAGGCAGTCTGCAATGTCTTCACTCCCTGTACAATCAGTTGAGACACAGGAATTTCCTGTCTATAATCTACCTCAGCCCCAGGCAGGCASCTATAGCAGGTCAGAGGATTCATGCTCAAGAAGCATCTCTGTTGACCAGACAATCTGGACAACTTGCTTTTAAATTATAAAAACAGAGGCAATGAATGCCACTGTAAGATCTTCTAATGTAGAGAACCTGAAGCAGCAGTGACATCTCAAATTGCATTTTCCCATCTGAGTTAATCTCCTGATCATTTGTGAGTCACAAACTGGTCACATTTCCTTACCACTTCTTTCATCCACCCACAGTATATGGTACTTACTTAATAAATCAGTAATAACAGCTTCTTTGAGTTCAGCAGTGCTTATGCCAATAAACCTGCGGGGCAAATTTAATAGCCTTGTTGCTCCCTTTTCATTCTAGTGGCCATATTTATCTTACATACTGTGGCCTCCAGATTTGCTTTCAACAAGCCTGTTCTCTGCATCTTCTTGGGCTACAAGATTCAACTGAGATGCAACGACAATGCCAAGCTAATACAAATTGTGTTTTCAGCAGTAGACTACCTTGTTGCCCATAGAGGCAACATTTTTGTTGCCCATAGAGGCCTCTATGGCATTTTTGCTTTATCCAACATAAGCAAGGTCACAGATTTAAAAAAAAACATACTAGCACAGAGGAAAAATATTTTGGAACGTAACTGAGTCAATGTGCTAAAAGAAATCCCTGTGATCTAACTCTAGCAAATAGCTCAGCTGAGGTTGTACTAACTATGTCTGGCCACAACTTCAGAGCTAGAATCATGTGCTGTTTCTTAATGGTCCACAATTCATAAGATGGATTTGCATTACAGGTAAACATCCTTGAAGGCCCTTCAGAGGAAATTATCCCTCAGCTGAAGAAAAAACATGAAGTAAATACTCTGGATTTTGTCTTTCTTGACCACTGGAAAGACAGATACGCACCAGATACCATCCTGCTTCAGGTGAGTTTACACAATTCCATCCCTAAAAATAAAGCAGCACATGCCCAGATGTCTGTGAGGCCTGTATGCTTTATCAAGGGCCTCATCCTGTAAAATGAAAAATGGCAGTTATAATAGCAAACTTAGAGAGAAAGGATAGAGGGAACAGAATTCCAACCCTTCTCACACCCACAATGTATAGAACTTCACAAATACCTTTTTTCCTGACCAAATGGGTCTGTAGGAGAAGCAGTGTCTGGGTATTTCTCTCCCTGGAGGGAGTCTCTACATGGTCGCTAATCAAAACAATTGACCTGAATGTCCTGGCCCTGGGAGCAGACAGACTCAGGACCTGCATATCTGCTGCTCTAATTTCCTGAATATCAACTTCTCCTCCTGTGCCCAGCCTGTGCTGACAGCAGAGCTTCTTGATGAAATACCATTTTAGTAGCATAGCTGGTTATTATCTTTCTAGAGGCCTTTACTCCCCCTAATGAATTGGCTGTAATGTAGACTCTAGAACTAGAGTGCAGACTGTCCTAGCCAGGCACTTGCTAGAGAAGTGCTGTCCAACTCTATCTCCAGTCCTGAATGATGAAAAATTCTGCTCATTTCTTCCCAACCCTTCCCAACCCTGCAAGCTGATAAAAACTTTTAAAAATTGCCTGTTTGGCTGAAAGGACCATTTTTTAAAAATATATTTTTACATTAAATCCACTTCTTTAAGCTGCTTTTTACATTCAGAACCAGCAAGTCTCTCCACTGACTACGTCCTTCTTCTGTTTTAGGATACAAACACTATTTTCTCATCCAAACTGTCCTGTTTTTTAATTTCTGCCCAGGCTGTTTAGGCTGCTGAGGATTAGTTTGGGATTATGAACAACCAGCACAACATTTACACATTAGTAGTTAGCCCTCCCCTCCCCCAATTATTCTGTAATGTTTACCCAAGAATGTTTGCTTTTAAACTGGCTGTGTATTCATGACTGATCTCTTTCTATTGGGAAGAGCTAGCATATCCCTATCAGAGCTGAACTGCCCCAATACAGCCAAAGCAAATAGGTAAGAGCCAATTTAGTTCCATAGTAGAGGAATAGACCAATGCAGATGTGGCACAAAGATGTTTTGCCTTAAAAAAAAAAAAAAAAAGAATGTGAATTTCAGGGGAGAAAGATGAAGATCCCCCCATCTTCTCAGATGCCACAAGCCCTCTTTCTAACTCATATTCCTGGCCTGTATTCCAAGTGCGCCAGACAGCATTCCTCTTCAGCAGTTCTAAAAAAAGCCTGGCACAAAGAACACTGGAAATCCTGATGACTGGTGGGAAATACAGCATGTTGTCCTCGTAGGCTTCTAATCTGCACAACAGAAGCAGACCAGAGGATATTTGCCATGTCTCTAATATCCCTTCTACTATGCTGACTGGTGTGCAGTCACCAGAGGTGACAGCAGTAAGCTAAATATGCTCCACAGCACAGGAATGCTCTAATGCACTGGGAGTGACAAAAACTACACCATGGTTCAGCTTGGCCTGCTGCCTGTAGCCACAGTGTAACAACCTGCTTGATTAAGTACGGGCTTTCTGTTCTGAACTAGCTGATGAGCTCAGATAAGCAACTTCTGTTAGACAAAAGATACCAGCAAAAATTATGCTTGTAGGTTTACTGAGGATAAGCACTGAACTTCAAGTAAATACTGCAAGTTAATTATGCCCTCTGGAAGTTAGTCTGATTGATCTTCCTTGCATGCAAACCACATTTCATATGCCCTGCTGTTGAACAAAATAGCACAAGGCTGGATAACAAAAGAGGAAAAGCAGCTCAGAAAACTGTTGTTGTTTTTCCTGATTTTAGGACTTGATTAGATTTGGCCAAAGCAGTCTAGTACTTGCCTATCTCTTAAGTGGCCTCAACAGCTACTACAACATCTTAATGCCATATAAAAGGAAAGCTTCAACCACTGGCGTGAAAGCCAAGACAGAACTATCATAATAACCACTTTGACATAGTTAGAAACAGTATGAGCAACTAACTGCATACATGCACTGCGCTTGGTTTGTTATGTCAAAACCTGCATGACCCAACAGCTTGTCAGCATCACTAATGCTCTTCCAATTATGCTGGCAGAAAAAGTCATTGTAGGAAATACAACCACTGAAATTGGATAGAGTGTTCAGCTTCTCCCTTTTCTACCCTCCAAAAGGAGAGTACAATCGGGTTTTGGATGCAAACTCTTTTAAGTAGGAAATGTCTTGCACAAAAGATGTGACATTCAAACCCATAACCACATAACATCACCATGAAGCAATTTCTCTTCTTTCTAGGAGTGCAACTTGCTGAGGAAGGGCACAGTTCTTCTGGCTGACAATGTAATCTTCCCAGGAGCTCCAGAATTCCTTAAATATGTCCGCAACAATCCCCATTTCCAATGCACTAACTACCCATCTCATCTGGAATATATGGCAGTGCAGGATGCTATGGAAAAGGCTGTGTTTTTGGGATGATGAAAGCCATTAATACTCGGCTACTGTTTCAAAATATGTAAATGCAACTGCAGAGATTAACTTGTTTATGCTTTAAATTTTGCACTTGTCTGTGCTTTCAATTTTGCTTTTTGTATTTTGAAGCCTTTAATTGAGGCAAATTGTAGTGGAGGTCATTCTAGGCCAGGTGGAAATCATGATCTGGAGTGTGTAAGTAGAGTAACTGCTCAAAGATTTGTTTCTGTTGTTTAACATAGCTCTGCAAACCTTGGTGATGAACGTCATTGACTAATACATCACTGAACAGTCTGTTATGTTGAGCTCCAACCCAAGCAACCACAGGTTGGGATGGGTATGGGCTAGAGAAAAATCACTGTAAACTTCCATAAACTTGATTCCCAAAGCTAAACTTACTAATAATTACCAAGATTTAAAAAGCATGCATGGTGGAAGAAACGAGCATCTCAGACACTGATTTTGCTAAATTATCAGCATGCCACTTCATGCTGCGAAGGCTCCTATAGTGATATCAGATACATTTTTTCATAGTTACTGCAAAAGTTAATCATCTGTATGCTGCAGAAAATCATCTATATGCTGAAAGAAGACAGACCCATGCAGCCATGAGCAAATAAACCAGAATTTTGCAGAAGGCAGTGCAAACAAGATATGTGGAGGTGTGGAAAAGTGAAGAATTAAGTGCATTTTAAGTTCTTTTGAACAGAATGTCAGAATTGCATAAAATGATTGAAACTTGGGAGATTGTTACATTTACTTACCTCCTTATTACACAGTATATACATATCATGTATACTGCTTACTGTACATGAAGCACCATGTGTGCTGTGACCTTGAACCACAGTTAACAGCGGAGAAACTTAAGTCTTGCCAGATGGTTCCTTCACACCTGGTTAACCCGAAGCACGGCAGCCGAATGCTATGGCAATAGTGTTACCTCTGTGAAGATACAAAGCCACATCTGAAGTCTCTGATGTGCCTGAGCAAGGCAACAATCCACTGGCATTTTGTGGCATGTCCTCTTGTCATTACATAATGAAATAGTGGTCACATTTATAAGTAAAAATAGTAAAGGCCGACACATGACTTCCTTCCCTCCTTGCGTTCAATGAGCTCTGCGCTGCACTTGAGATTTCCAGGCTTGGAACAGTCCCAGAAAGACCCAACAGTTGAAAACCAGTGAAAGTTTGGGGATTTCTGTTATGCATTATAGATGTATGGTTCTTACAGACCAGTTATAAGCCACTTCCTTTTATACTGTTTTACTGCAGTCTTATTTATCCTGGCCTGAGTAATACAAAAAAATACAGGACATCAGTAATAAGCATGGTAGGGAATTTTTACCCAGTATAAAAGAAAACGACACCAAGCTAAGGTTGCAGGGTCAGGTCAGGAATGGACCAAACACACACAGTAACCCAGCCAGCTTGTAAAGCTTACATTTCACAGGTATATGAGGATGGCAAATTACTGGAGTTCCTTCAACAATTTAAACTGTCACAGTTGGGAAAGACAACATTTYAGACTGTGAAGAAGTCGTCCCTCATGGCTGTGTCATGCTGCGTAGGAGGAATCCTTGTGTTCTGAGGCCTCCGTCTCACGTTGTCAAATGAGTCAGGGATTTGTTCTGCAGGTTTGCTCAGCAGCAGTTCCTCTTGGTACCTGCTCAACTCGTTGCTGGACCAAAGACCCTCTGGTGATTTCAGAYAAGTCTTTGCAAATTCTTCCAAGAAGAAAATCACACTGAAATCCATTTACTGGCATACACAAGTTCATGGAGCCCACTGGAAAATCTGCATGCTTACAGGTACACTAACCAAAGTCTCATCGATACATGATGAGAAAATAAATGAAAGTTGCCTAACACCATTAGCTAACACCATTCTGCACAGCAAAGTCACTGCAGAGAGACAATCAAGAGAAGCACTGAAGGAGAGAACCTCTTGAGCTGGCATCGATATTTCAAAAGATTTCACTAAAAGATTAGTGAATAACACATGTAATATAACAGCCACCTTTTAGTAGAAAAAAGGCATTTTAATTCATTAGACAGTATCACCCACAAGAGAGGCAGTGAAAAAAAAAGCCTGTGTATCATCAGATTATTTACAGAATTTCACATGCAAGAAAAATTTTTCAACTTGACCACACTTCTGAAATGCTCATAATTATTGGTGGCAAGGAATGAAAAGGAGAAAGCATGACAGAGTTTGCATGACTGGTAATTAGAAAAAAGCCTTTTGGTCAGTTGAGCAAATATGATCTGGAGTCACTGACACATAAATGTGAAATCTCCCAGGGAGAAGAGTTATTTTTCAAAATAAAGTCATGCCTTGAATACTGGGAGAGAAGAGAGTAGGCAATGAGTCTTCTAGGCAATTTAGACATGTTCTTAAAACCTACTGAGTTTTATTACAGTGTCAGTCTATAGCAGTTAGAAGACAAGTTACTCTTGCACAACACAGATATGAAACAGTGCAAACTCCCAATATAAAGAATTCCTGTAAAACCACACAAATCCTTCTGCAAATTCTCACAACTCATGTCAAAAAYTAGGGATCCTCCCAAATACTGCTAATTGAGATTTATTCTGTAGATAGCAACTACTATCTGGGTTGTTGGATTGGGTTCAGGCAACACATGAAAGTGAAGTTCAGTTTCTGCCAGTCTCTGTTGCAAAGGGACATGACACCAGCTCTTAAGATATTCAGTCGATTCTTTAAATCATGATTCATGATTCATTTAGCTTCCTAATTTAATACCGCACTGAGTGTAACAGCACCCATGCAGCAATCCTTACAGAGGAAATCACCCGTCAGAGCAAAGAGCAGTTATGGCACACGTGTGCAGGAGACAGCGCTTCCACTGAATGACACGATGAAGGGAAAAACCCCTGGGTGACTTTGGGACAAGTCACAAATGCCAGATCCTGTGAACTGTCCAAGTCTCTATAAAGCATCAAAGAGACCATCAAGATGCCAGCTCCCCCACTAAAGAGGACAACACCTGATGAGTGATGCATCCCCATTTGCTTGATTCGAGCAAGGGAATTGAGACTTTGCTTAGAAAGGCTGCTGTGTTTGCTGTGCACCACACTGAGCTGTAAGTAGAGAATCTCACTGTCTTTGCCTGTCCCCACGGCTCAGTTCATGGCCGCAAAACAACTTCCACTGTAACAAATCCTCCATTGTCAGCTTGTACCACAGTGAGGTTTTGCCACTGCTGAGCTTTAGTTGCACAGAGATCTTCACTGTAAGAAACGGCAGGGAAGACGGTCATGAGGACAGAATGTTCCCCCAAGACACTGCTGAAACCTGAAACAGATGAGGGCTGTGATATTTTATGCCTGTTGTTCCCAGGTTAACCTTTCACCTGTGGAACTCATTGCTTCCATTTGCCCAGCCTGTGATAAGCTGGAAATGAAATCACTTTGACAGCTATAAAAGGTCACTTGTAGAAACAACATATTTGCTTTAGCTTGGTATYCTACCTACAGCATCTACTATTCATTGCCATATTAACGCACCCATGAAGAAAGAAAACCAGATTCCCTGTTGCAGCAGAATGCCAGGGATAGCTAGGAGCGAGATGCTAAGCCCAGGAGCCCTCATCTTACTTGTGGAACTAGATGCTCCCAATGCAAGAACAGAACCTGCAGATGATTGTAGCTAACATCTGTGCATGCACTCAGAGTATCTGACATAATGAGGGAAGGCAAGCTAAAGGTCACCTTCCTAGGGCTGCCTGCAACAAATAAAAGGACCYACACAGTGCTGAGGGCACAACGAGACATTAACACATTGCAAACCTTCAACCTCAAGCTCGCAGAAGAGCCAGCCTCTGTTCCACCTGCAAGAACATTTATGTCAGGTTTTACTGGGTTTTGTCTTGCTTCACCAGGAAAGGAAACATCCCACATTTGGGTGCATCTGTCTCAACACTGATCTGATTAACACACCTGAACCTGCCTGACAGAGTCACTCCTCAGGAGAATTAACCAGAAAAGAGTGAGTAACTAGCTGTTACTTCTCATTTGTTTTCCCCTCACAGCAGCAAAATTATTTGGCATATTCTGAAAATATCAGTTTCTCATTTCAACCAAGTCTCATGCATAGCTCCAATAAACTTTTCTGTTGTTCCTACACATTTGTATTTATGAGTATACTTTCATGAGAGATGTGAGTTCTTTGTAAAGTTACAAAGCTTTTATGACTAAGTTGGGAAATGTCAATAGCTTCCCAGGTGGAAAAGTCATCAGCAAGTTTAGCTTGTGGTCTGGTCACACATATGCAGACCTTTGAACAGTGACACAGCTGTCTCTCCTGCAGAAATATTCTTGTGTATTAAAAAGGAAAACAAACAAACAGACCATGATCTACCATTCATAGTCCTTAGAGGGCTTTTATGCTATGACAACAACATATGGCAATGAATCACAATTACCAGCTATACTGKTTTAACAGAAATATCAATTGCTCTCATTATCACTGAGCTTTTACTAACACACAAAGTGCTGACCTGAGCTAGGATCGAATAATCTCCTGTCACAAAAGTGCTGTCATCAAGCCAAGAAATACCTAATGTAACAGTAACAGAAAAGATAACCAATGGCACAGGTATTCTTTCCAGGCATGGTTTATTGAAAACACACCAAATTGTTATCCTACATACCTGGTTTCTAACAAGCATTCTACTTGTCTGTGTTATGGAAAGGTCCTATAGTAATAATACATTCTGTCACGGTAACATTTGTTCTATGAAAAGCATAATCCGCCTTTCTTCCCCTCCATACTCGTAAAATCAAACCATTCTAAGTGTTTCAGTTTATAGTACAGTGTAAATACAATGCAAAATCCCACCAGTCTAAACTACAGAATGTCGAGCAGTATTACAGAAAACACATTGTTGATTTTTTTATTCTCCTACCATGAAAATTTTAAGGCACATGATAGTTACAAACACATTAGCTACTAATTACCAGTAAGCTTCTTAGTCTAGTTATTTTGTTTTTCTGAACAATAAGAACCAGATTGGCAGGCCTTGYAGTATCTGCACTACCTTTCTCATCTTGCAACTGGACTTCAGATTATCCTACCCCAAGGTAGAACTTAAGACAGGAGGAGAAAAAAAAAGTGGTTCTTAATACCTTCCCTTAATGTACTAGGTTAGTTACTGTACCAATAAATCAGAGAATTTTTGTCAAAGATAAGGAAATAGCAGATTTTAGTGGCATCAACTCAAACTTTGTGAGAAGCTATGCCTATATAAACACCTTCAAGATGCATGAGAGCATGACCAAACCCAAGGGCACAAAAGTGTGGACTGAAGATATTGGCACACTGTAGTTTTCACTGAGTGGGCAGTAAGAGCCTGTAACTGCTCTCTAAGGTGCCCATTTGGCCTTGGAAGCTTTGCCTACTCTAAGGGTTTAGGATGTTTCTCTCCCAGGCAGCTGAGCCCTATGAGCTCAACTTTAAGGCAAGTAGCAAAGGTAACTCCCCACCCTCCGGCTTGTCGAGCATAAGC